TAACAAACAACCTGCTTATTAATACCTGACACTTTATACTTTTCCCATCATTCTGCCAGCACAATTTACCTTACGAGTGTTAAACAAAATGTTCAACGTTGTATGACTACCAGTAAAATTAAGTCAACAATTACAAATCATACATCTTTAAGAACGTACAACAATCAACTACTATTATTTCCCTTTATAATGTAGAATGTGTAGATTTTAAACGGACGCCTGCGAGAAAAAAAATCCCCTGACAATTAGCGAACCACCCATGTATATACGCTTAATCCGATCCCAGAGAGCAAGAAGAAAAGAACTCATTACGAGGCGTGAGGTAAAGTGCAGTCATGAACTGACACCTATCAGTCAGGCCCTTAGCAATGCAAATGCGCCCGAGTAAACAATTAAGTTTCGTTTCGCGGACTGATAGAATAATACACACATTGATGTGGGTTTCGGATTCGTCATAAAGACGGGCGTAATTAAACAGTGGGCGCCGTAGTGTATTCAGCGATAAGCCACATACAAAACTGATACGTTAGGAATTTTTACCAGTCATTTTTGGACGTAAAAAAGGCATGTAGAATCCGGAAGTAATGAGCAGAAGTAATCCCCATCGAGCAAGAGCCTCAACCAGGTGGGCCCAGCGCGAGAGCCGGGGCGCGATAAGAGCTGGAGAGGTGCGATTCGCCCTCGGGCAGGACGTTCCGATCTAGAAAGCTAATCTTCGCGCCGACTAACAAGTTGTCTGTCAACGGCCACCATGACACCGCTCGCGCTGACCGGGCGAACGGTTTTTCCTTTCGGGCATAAATCGTACCCGATGGTTCGTGGCTTTTTTATCGCATCGCATAAGTGTCGAGCATTAAGAAATTGCACGCGGAATGCCCGGAGATGCGCTCATTTAGCGCCGACGCGAGAGGGAAATTGCATTTAAATGCGCTATATTATTTGTGTAACGAGAAATCATGCACAGAATTATGTAAATTTATGGATTGTTCGAAACTTCGTTTATTGCGATGAATGGGTCGCGTTAAACAAAACAAATTGGGTTTTCGTGGTTTGGCTCTTCATTAAGAAAATCATTCTTACCTACTTATTTTCAAAATGAATCCTTTCAAGTAAAACTCGTTTCAGTGCCCAGTATAATTCGATAAGTAAATAATGGACCGTTTGCAAAATAATGTACTAATTAAAGTACGACTACAAGTATTTTAAGATAAAGATATTTTATTGACAAGCGCAATTTAAAAGAACCCACACGATAAAAACGATAATATAATTGCTTTTATCGATAAAATCGCCGCCTATGGCGTGGCTGGTGCAGGTCCGACTTAAAAATACTCTACCCAACAAAACAAACAGAAAATTTCAATAGCATTTACTCGCATGACCCCCAACTTATTTCACAACGAATACTCCTTCCATTATCACCAACCGGCAATTAAATAATACTGTATAGTTTTACCTGGATATTGGAAATTAAGAGAGACCGGCCCTGCAGGTGTTGGTGGTAAATTTAAATCCATCTCATACCGAACTCTGATGTACGAGTTCTGGTAATTTAGACGATATGCTATCTAATTAAAGAACCTGGCTGACACAACGGCTAATTGCCGATGCTTGTATTCGAATGTAATCCTCTTGTTTAGTGCTCGTGATGACCCGTGAGCCATGTAGATGACGACGATCTCCGTATTATACAGTATGAACGATAAAACGTGAGACGTGAGGGTCTCACCTAAGTGGGTTTAGTGAACTTTAATAACCAATTATTTGTTAAAAAATATCACTACCGATAGTAAATGCGAGTGCGCCTCGAGTTTTACTATTTATTGCATTAATTGGACATATCGATAGCTTGTTCCTAAGTGATATGATATCCAACACCCTGTAGGTATACATAAAAATTATTCTAATTAACCACCATCCACCAGAAACAAAACTTACAAGTCGTAAATTAAAATTCGAAAAGGGAATTCGTTTCGTCTTTATTGCTTTAATTACTTTTCACGCCTGAAAGGTTTCTCATTATGAATGTTGGAATAATCTAATAACTGTGATGTGGGTTATTATTTATTAGATTTCTTTATACGGACAAATGTACTCTACGAAATAACAACTAGTACAAATGAAATAATAAATCCCAATTTTTTTTACCCTCACTACACGAAATAATAATTACGTTCCTCAAATCTGTGATTAGGTTGCATGAAAACGTCCTTAAACACCCTCATGTAGCATTGGCGAGCACATGAGGGTGCGTCCATACATTAATTCTTACTTTTTCAATACAGGGCGATTTTTATTATAATTATCATTATTTTTCGTAACCCTTTTTTAACACTATCACTGCTTTTCGCGAACCAGATTATTGTTTTTATCGAGGCAGATGTGGCAGATTCTCTTCCACTGTTCTTCACCGTCGGGGTTAAAAGCTGTGAAATAATGCATACAGATTACTACTACTTTGCCGATTGGATGAGTTCATTTGCATTTCAATTCACAATTAACGCAACCCGTTCCCACTCCGGACCCCATCCGGACGCGCTTCGGAAGGAACTGACTAGGTGCTCGGTTGCAACACACGAGAAGATGACACGTGCTAGTCGAAATAGGAATGCAAATTAGTTCGACCCTACTTTTGCAGCGTGAAAATGATTAGATTTTTTTGAAATCTAGTACGGTTATAGAGATATTTTTATAAGCAGCGGTAAATTGTATATATTTGTTATCATTAATAATTAAATATTGAATTATTAAAAGACAAAAACATATATTAATATTGGGTTAGAAAGCATGCAGGACCTATAGTTATATTCAACCTACTTATAGCGCATTGGTATGTAAATTTGAAATTATTTCTATATTTTATTTAAAGCATAAATTGTGAGAATTTCAAAATTGAAAATCTCTTAAAAGTATGATATTTTTAAATACTGATAAAGATTATCAGTTTATGCAGATCCCATGAAGCTGCTCATTACACATTACAAACCCCAATAATTAGCATATGAAATGAATCTACTTCAAAACCAAACAATAAAAAAAATCTATTTAGAATAGTTTTTTCTTTCAATGTAAATACACACGGGGGTTGCGCGCCGCGTAAAAAATAGAATTAAGCGATTTTTTACCGCTTAAATGCACATACAACAATAAGAGAGATTAGTAGAAACAAAAAAACGTTGTAAAAAGTGTTCATTATGTGCGTGTCACATCTGTCACACTGTATGTGAGTAATGTTTTCTCTCGTACAAGCGCTGTAGTATAACGAAAAGTTGTTGGGGTAAGGGCGTAAAACCATGCACGGTGTGTTTAATTAGTTTCTGTCGCGGGTGTTTTGCTACATGTGGGAAAATTTATTACACACCATCGAAGATATTAATCTCATAATTGCAGATACGATTTTTAACGTCGGGAACTATAATATTATATTAGCAAAAATTCATTACGTTTGCTACCGAAAACATTTTCAATAAAAGCAGAAGTTTCTCATAATAAATCTGACGATTCGAGGGCAAAGTGTAACAGGTTGCGATGAAAAAATCCCTGTTAAATACGGCACTGGTCGAGGTTTTACGAAGAATTTACACCTGACAATAGTTGAATCCGATGCCCTGCTTGACGCCCACCTGGTAATGAAATAATCTGCCACTCCTTGCTATAGATAAAGATGTAATGGCCCCGAATACCACACTAGTACATACTCATCCCAGTATAAACATTCGCCATATTTAAAGGCTAATTAATGATCCACCTTATTATGCGAACATCGCCACTCCGCTAAAAATATGCTTCTATTTTCTTTTCAAAATAAACTACGAAACATTGTTCTTGCGATCGAGAGTAATAAACGACTCGTGTTCGCTATTAAATAGAAAACTATTTGCTAAATTGATACTTATTGGATTAATTAATGGTATGCTGAAATTGATTTTTCCAAATTGCTCTCAAAAATCTAGGAACTCGGTAGTATCGGCAGTGAACGTGTTAAAAACCGTCGCAAATTTAACAATATTTAGACGCATTATAACCCGAACGTGTCGGCTTATAACACACACACCGTCGAAGGTGATATTTGTTATTATTGATGATATTATCGAAGAAACATTTACTCTAATCCCACTCTTGGCGTTGTGAGTGTTGCTCGCTGTAACGTATTACCTATAAGTTATAATTAACGGTTGCCGTTGCCGGGTTTGTTGTTTGCCGTTGAATTTAACAACAAGAACGCCGAAGAAATTTTATTGTTATAACCGGAGGAAAAGATAGCCACTATATATCAGTTGAGCCGATTGAGTCTTCGAACGTGCTCACCTATAGGTTTTAATCATTTTTTTATTTACTCGGTTTTAATGCCTTGCAAGGTAAACTATTCACGCACATACGAAAAACTTTTTTTATTAAAGTAAATGCATTTGCGTAAACAAAATTTATACTTAAAGCGTTATTAATGCAAAATAAATTTATATTGTGTGTAAGTTGTAATGGTAGAATCACTAATTATAGTGCGAATAAATTATAAGCATATGATATTCTTATTTTTGTACGTTCATACGTTTACGCTTAATAAATTGCAGTCTTTAATCACCGTAAGAATATAAAAAAAGTACCTCCTTGAAAACCTCACACCAAGCCCGAACCATATGCAGTTATGAATGTAACTCATAAACAAGTTTTTCGTATTTTATTAATGATGTTACTCTGGTTCGGCGTAGTCGATAAATAATCCTGTAATCCATATTAGATTCGCATATCAGCGTAATTATAAGTAGATGTTTTGGTGCGTATACAAATGAGAAATTATAAAATCCTCTTCGTCTACAAATGCGTTGGATATCACACATGCTCCGTGCGATTTGCACTCGAGCGTTTAATGCCGACGCAAATAAATAACGAGATTTCAGAAGTTCGCAAGAATTCATTTCAGCCAGATTATGTTGGGTGAAATTTAATTGAACATGTGCAAATTGATTTAGATAAGATAATTATAATCAATTTTCTTTCGCCAAACTTTCATTATATTTTGCCAACTATTCATTACATTTTGTTGATAGAATTTAGCTCGGAATTTAGTATTCGAACGGTTACATTTTATTTCATTCACATTTTTTATTTAATTGTAAGTATCTCATGCTTCCGCATCCCCGTCACCACCTTCTTCTTCATCATTAGCGCTAACGGCTGCTATAAGAGCAGCCCCGATGCCGCTGCCGTCCGCTGTTTCCATAAATTGGAATTTATAAGAATCTGGAATGAGGATTTCGCGCAGTTTGTGTTCGCACGTATTTCGAAAGTGCGGGTGCAATTTGAACAAGGATCCATCGACGCCGATTGTTACCATCGGATAGCCCATTTTTCTGATCAGCACGGCCATCGAGGAAGCCACCATGAAGGCGGCTCTTCTCGAAAAACAACAACACACGTAGCGGAGGTCTTGGTAATCTTCCTCGGTGCCCCAATCGACGCCTAATTCTTTACAGATTCTTTCAGCGTTATCGTACTTACAAGGATCGTCGGATTCAATTTCGGAGACGAATGACGTTTCGAAAGAACCTTTGGTTTTAAATTCCTCTGTTAATTTCCCGTTAAACATAATACCGTCTTCAGTTAGTTGTACAACGGCTAATCGCACGAGTTCGCCTAAATACATGCCGGATATCATTTTTTCGTGGGCTTGTTTACCAGGATTAATCGAGTCCTTGTCAACATCAATGTCGTATTTCGTTCTACAAAAATCTAAAGCGCCGTCATCACCGAACGCTCCGGATTCTAAATTAATTATTACAATTCCGGAACCTGTATCCTGTGCATCGAATAACTCAACCCAATCTTGCTTTTCTACGTAACAACAATTGGTGCCTGTACCCACAATGAGTCCAATTTTGCAAGTCTGATCCTTATAGGCACATGTTATAAGGGTTCCGGTAGTATCGTTGCAAACGGCTACTATCTTAACTTTTACATCTTCTCGTTTTTCGATGGCTTGTTCTAATAGTTTAACAACATCTTGGCCTATAACTCCAGAACAATTAAATCCTTTGGTCCACCTTTCGAGATGTCCTTTTTTCAGGCCAATTTGCGTTAAAGGGAAACTAAATGTGAAACCTAAAGGTAGCTCGTCTTCCATTACACCCTGAGCACCACAAAATTCAGAAAGTTTCTCGGCAAAGAAGTCAAACAGATCTTCTCCAGGGCCAGTCATAAGTTCCTCCGGAATTTCGTAGGTCTCGCTTACAACTTGTAATTTCCCTCCTTCAGGTTCTGCTTCCTCTTCGGCATCTGGGTCTGGTTCTGGTTCTTCGGCATTCGGGTCAAGTGTAATCATGAGGACTCTAAAGTTGGTTCCTCCAAGATCAAGGGCTAGATATTTTCCCTCTTCCTGGCCCGTAGGCAGGTTCTGCACGTACGTAGGGAAACATTTTACAATAGCGTTTTGATGGTTCGCTTTCTTCAAACCCGTCCTTACGGCATCGAGGAAATTCTTCATATATTGACCCAACTGCTGATTTGTCAGCACCAGTTCGCTGCATTTCGCCTTCGTTACCGTCCGAGCCGGCATTTCTCTCAAATACACCGGGTTGCATTTTTGACTGCAGCAGCTCTTTTTGAATTTTTCGCAGGGTTCCGGTTCGTCGCACGGTAGTTTACATGGAGGGGATTTAGTAGGAGCGCTCATTTTTAACGAAAAATTTACAGCAAAAAAAGTTAATTTTCAAATTCGAACTAAAATGTTTGTGGCATTGAAGCTTTTATTTATCAGTCATAACACGTGTCTAAGTAACAAGTTAACTGTCATTCTTAAATTGCAGTTTAAGGGACTTCAAAATAAAAATGGGGTAATTAAATAATTCGTTACATCAGGTAATTGGAGGGTAGGTGAGGTAGATATATTATTCGTTTGTTTTCGATGGCATTTACCAAAACTACGCTAACGTTAATGGATATAATTATAACAATTACATACCTCTCCGGGTAATTATCTGTGTATTGTGATGCACAGGAAATGATTTTTTTAAATGAACTCGCCCACATACGTAATCAAAGTTAAATGTCTAACAATGGCCTATTAGATATCTGATACGATATCTGCTTTCACAATTGTTGATGCTCTCAATAATACTTTTATTTTATTACAAATTGTCAGACGAAATGACGCCTATTTGAGCATGGCATTATCAAAAGGTGGGACGGTCTTCAAAACTGTCACTCAGAATGATGCGATTATCGATATAGGGAATCTTAATTACTATTTGTAAGTCACTAATCTGAAATATTGCACTGTTCGAAATCATCTTAAATGTAAATAGACAAGCGATATTTACATTATTCCCATTTCTTTGTTGGTAATTTAATAGTAAACCCTTTTAAAGGTAATTCCAAGTTAGGTATTTAGTAATTAGATAATTAGACAATTTATTTATTGCATATTTATAGCATTTATTCAATGCTATTAATTTCTATAATATTGTTATGAGTAACGTTGTAGGTGTGAAAGAACCCACTATAGAAATTATATTCCGATAGGAGGCATAAAAATGGAATATTTAAAAAATGATAATTCCGAAGCTAATTCCACGAGTTTCGGATGCATCTGCGCTTTGGTATCGTAATAAAATGAGTCGGTCGCGTCATAATAAAAGTAATTCCAACTCCGGGCCGAACAATAATTTGTGGCGAAGTTTTAGAGCATTAAAGTTCTTATTAAAGCATGATTATAAAACATTGTAATAAAATTTCACACATTAAAATAAAATTCGAATAAATTAGAAATAAACTGGTCGTCATTAAGAGGTTGTTTACGGCCCTTACTGTCAGTTCCGTCCGTATTTTTGTTCGTAAATTATTAAAAATGAAAATAAAAGCGATAAAACTATAATATGACTACTGAACTGAATGTCGTCTTTTAAATATGTATGTGGTTCGGTTCGTCTTGAATTGTATTTTATTTTATAGAGTAAAATTATCGTCATCAATTTTTATAATTTTCTGGCTTCTCCGACTGAAATGAGAATGCCGAAGAATAAATTTTTTTAATCTTACTTAATTTCTCGGCATTTTTTTTTATTTTAACATCTAAATCGCTAGATAAAATTTAAATAACGTGAACATATTCGAGCGCTACTCTGTATTTAGCTGGCTAATTATACATATCGGAAAAGAGTGTACCTTCAGCCTGGCAGATGTGAATATTATACTTCATCTTTTTTTTGTCTCTTTTGTCTAGTTGAATGCAGTGCATGCCCCACATTTCCACCTACTTGATCACTAATTACTGCAGGCCGGATAATGCCCCATTGTTGCCAGTCTGTTAAAATCGCATAAATTATCTGAAAGCTCGACAAAAAGTATCTACACCCGCTTTATCAATACAAAAAAAGCACACGGTGCCTAAAGGCACATTTTCTTAGGTCTAAAAAATACCCAACAAAAATTTTAAAAGTATTTTATTTTAAAGTTTTTCTCTTCTTTTCTCTTCTAATACACAATTTCTGGTGGTATTCTTTCAATTATATGATGACGTTCATGCAATTTTAAACCAACCTCTACTAAATTTCTGTCATAGCTATTTGTCAATAACACCACAAATTCACTGTTTAAATACTCAACATTTATTATTAGTTTAAGTATGAATACTACCCTAAAATGACCGAAGATGAAGAATCGGCTTGTGACGATTATAAAAAACATTGTCCGAGTGGTAAATGCAATCCAATACACTTGAGAAACTTGCCTTGTCGAGAGAAAACGAAAGAGGCATGCCAAGCACTAATATTAACCAAAGAACAACTGGATAATTACATGGAAACGTTTTTGGATAATATTCAAAGAGGATTGAAGAAGACTACTAATGCTTGTGCTAGTGTGAAATGTTTCCCAACGTACGTTCAAAATTTACCAGATGGTACAGAAAACGGAAAGTTCCTAGCATTGGACCTAGGTGGCAGCAATTTTAGAATACTTATGATAACTATCACACAAGGAAAAGATATGGATATAATTAACGAAGTAATAGAAATACCGGCAAATCTAATGACCGGGAAAGGTGATAACCTTTTTAATTTTATTGCTCAGAAACTGAGCGAATTTTGTGCTAATAACGGTGTTTCTAACGACAATTTACCGCTAGGTTTTACATTTAGCTTTCCTTTGGTACAAAAGGGATTGAAAGTAGGAATTCTTGAGCGCTGGACCAAAGGGTTCAATTGCGAAGGTGTGATAGGCGAGGATGTGGTTAAACTTCTAGAAGAAGCAATCGAGAGGAGAGGAGATGTAAAAGTTAATATTGTAGCTGTGCTTAACGATACAACAGGAACGCTAATGGCCTGCGCTTTCAAGCACAGAAATTGCAAAATTGGATTGATCGTAGGAACTGGTACAAACGGGTGCTACGTGGAAGAACAGTGGGCAGCGGAATTATTCAACGAGCCTGATAAAGGTTCCGGAGTTGTGATAATTAACATGGAATCGGGTGCTTTTGGCGACGACGGAGCGTTAGAATTTTGCAGAACGGATTACGATAGAGAAGTGGACAACTCATCGATTAATCCCGGAAAGCAGCTGCACGAAAAAATGATATCCGGCATGTATTTGGGAGAATTGGTCAGGCGTGTGGTCGAAAAGTTAACCAACGATGGGATTATGTTCGATGGCAAACTGTCGCCCGATTTTGCCACTAGAGATAAATTCGAAACCAAATTCGTTTCCGAAATAGAAGCGGACAAACCATGCAAATATGCAAATGTGAAAAAAGTATGCGAGGATTTAGGTGTGACTTGGGCAAAAGAAAAAGATTATCAAGACCTTCGGTACATCTGTGCTTGTTTCACTAAACGAGCCGCTTATCTAGTGGCTTGCTCCATTACTGTTTTAATCAAAAAGATGGGTTACAGGGATATTACAATCGGCATCGACGGCACGTTATACAAAAATCATCCGCATTTTCACAAAATGCTCGTGCATAAAGTGAAAAATTTGCTATCCTGGGAATGGTACACTTTCAAAATTGTTAAATCGGAAGACGGTTCAGGTGTAGGTGCTGCGTTAGTAGCTGCTGCAGCTACTAAACCTCAAGCTGGCGATGAAGTTTCAAGTAATAAAGAAGCAAGTGAAGCAGTTGTACCAGAAGTTGGTGGTGAAGGGAAATAAGACTATTCGGTACGATGTTAATTATTGTAAGATTGTTTCAATAATTACGTTTCGAGCTCCCATTATTAATTTGATTTATCGTGGCTTTTAAATCTGTAAAGTTTTTGCGAAATGAAAAGCGATTTATAAAGGGAGCATAAAACTTCTTAATTCTCATATTTCTCCCCGTTAAGACTTCTTAAACTTGGCTTAACAAATAAACGCAATTTATTATCTCTTCATTTTAATAGAGTACATTTAACAGAACGGCGCTTTTATCATTAATTACTGCAGACTACAGTTGTTGGCAGGATAAACATAGCCGATAAAGCGAGACGGAGAGCGGTAATAAAGACCAGTAAATCAGTGATTATTCGCAGGCCAACAATTTAATTTCCGAAATCCATGCTTCCATAATTAGCGAATATATCACAAATTCAAATTAACAGCGCTTAATGGCGTCAAGCTGGGCTTCCGCCCCCGAAAATAGGCAGTCGCCTGTGTTTTAACTTGTCCGTGTTAATTTCCGAAGCCAGTGATAGCCCCTCATTTTACATAATTGAGTTGTAATTGTTTAATGGAGTGTACGTTTTCAATGTTGGCCAATTTACATATATACCGGTTAAACGCTGCCGTTTTGGTGTTCTGATAGAATATATGACCGATAGTTTTAATAAAACGACTCTTGTATAAACGTGGAAATATAGTTTCATTTTAAAAATATGAGATACCATGTGTAGGTACATGTGTATTAATCAGTACAGGAAGAATGTTTACAGGAATTATTATGATTTGTAGATTAATTTCTTTTTGTGTTCAAATTTCCACTAGAAATTGCTAAAATCACTTTGAATATTAGAAGAAAAAATATTTACTAGTAGATTATCCTTTATTGAAATAATTGACCAATTTTTGGGTTGTATCATGTACAATTCAACTTCTTTATAGCGTTATCTGTAAACAATTTAACGCTTGTCCGGGAATTCTGAAAGCGGGGTATAAAGAAATCAATCCGAAAATATCCCTGTAAAAGCGGTCAATGGGAAACTTCGATTAGGTATCTAATTTCCGTCGCCCAGAACTGTGACGGAGTCGCAATTAGTGAACGAAATGGGCGATCTTCTCACCCTCGTCTCACTATTCGCTGGACAAACGTTCAGACGTGATCAGGACAAACATTGGGATTTGTACCTTTTCATTATCTTGAAGTATTCCGTGCTCATTTTACCGTTCTTCCTAGTTTTATTTTCGGGTTTTACCTCCGAACGATTTACAAATTGTTATTTTCGCACATTTTTATTTACCAGTTTATATGAGTTTAATAGTAGTTTAATTTGTTAAGTAAATAAGAAACTTTTTTTCAAATAAATGTTAATATGGGAACTATAAATTTTCTGCTACGTTGTTCGAATCTTATCTTAATGTACAATAAGTATAAAATAAATATTCTTGTAGAGTCCTCTTCAATAACAATTCATTGAATACTAAATAAAATAAGTTCATAAGCTCGATTCAAATCGCCTTCTTCACTCCAACAAGCCAATAACATTATCCCAAAAACGAGAAACTAATCTTGTAGTTCCATTAAAATTCGAATTTATCTTATAGTCGAGTACCGATGAATGTTGGAAATTAATTAAAATTAACGCAAATGGATCAAGAACACGTCCAGAAATATAGATAAAATTAATTTTCTCGAACCAATTTCCTTTATCTAACATTATTAAAATGACATCGTTAGAACGCCACGCCTGTGAAATACCTCCCACATTTAATGGTCACTATTCACTTGGCTTTATACTCTTCAATCTTGCACCATTAACAATGGAGCTACGGGATACCCTCTACAAAATACATAAATACATTGAATTCATTATATATACATATATCTCTTGTAGTCGGACGAGTATTTCGACTGGATGTCAAGTGTTTTAGTTTCGAAGAACTCGTTTTATCTTGCTGACCCGCTGGATACGATCTTAACGAGCTAATCAATAGATCACGGTCGATCCTTCGATCATTTATCATTTCCTTTTATAAAATGTATTTGTAACAAGTACTTGATTTTTAAAAAGAGTGTCGCAGGTGACCATTACGTATTTCAATTATACACTCGTTGTAATTAAACCTCCGATTTATTAATCCTCGGTTAAGTACTTATTGCAAAATTATAGTGTGTAATAAAACCTTGCAGTAAATAAATAAACCTAAAAGATATCTAATATCTCAGCAACATCCTTCACAATGTACTTATGCAAACGTGTTCCCAAGTAATCTCGTCTCCTGCGTCAATCTTCCAATTAGAATTACAATTAAAGTAATGATCATGTACAGACTTATTTTTGATTAAAATTTCCGTCGCAGCAATAAAAATCACAACTAACATTAACCAATTAATTAACGAGGCGAGTGAAGAGAATCGTCGTGATTATTTGTCACTTAAGAAGATAACCCAAACGCACAAGCGATTGTCGTACTTGATAGAATTGAGAAAAAAATCGAGGAACGCTTTGTGCGACTGTATACCCTTATCAAAACCAATTATACAATATATTCGGTTAAGTGACACAGTATTATTATTATTAAAATAACAGTAGCCCAATGACGGATTATGTGCTTGGATTCTTAATTGATAAATTGGGTGACATTATAACTACCGACTTGTTAGGATATAGTGCAGCGGAAATTTGACCGGGAGATACGATACGTAGATACATTTCAACCTGATTGTGATCCTATTTACATCACTAATTAATGTATCGGAAATTATTTATCAATTATATTTCGTACAAACGTAAGGAGGGTAAAAATATGGAATAATATAATATTGTTATCGATTTTAGCATCTTCCTAGTAACCAATAAAACACACACGACTCGAACTGCACACATGCACAAAAGCGAATCACAGTTGTACTTTAGCGAATGGATACGCTGTTGATCAGTTATTTATATCTGACCCGAAGACAGGCGTTTCAAACTTCCCAGAATCATATTGCACGACTATAAAATAGGATTTAATCTCTCTGTCTTTGTATGCCTCAGCTTATGTCAATTGCTCCAATTGACTGTACATCCTGCGATACTCGTAAAATATCTACCGATACATAAATTAAAATTAATGATTCAGAGAAAACACCTTCGAAATTAAAAAGCTCCAACTGTAATCGATTTTATACGTACAAGCTCGAGATGAATTTATGGCGCAATTTCTTCTCAATTATCAATCATTTCGATTGATTTGCCTCAACACACTTGAGGTTTCTGTATGAAGCTAAGCGTCACGTTGGGACATCTTTAATTTTTCCAACACCTATTGCATTTTTTTGAATTAGAATTAATTTAGAGTATACCTACGTATCAATTCTGGCACTGATATGGATTTAATAACTACGATATCGGTCGATTTATTCTCTTTGAATATGTATCAGATGATACCACCAGCAAGTAATTAATTATTGGTAAAAGGAAAGTCATCATTCAAAACTCCTTTGCATTATAGATTAAGGAATTATAATTTCCAGGCAGGTATTATCTTTACGGTATTAATTACAAAACTCGTGGGTGTGGGATTTAAGGACCCCAAACACGACTTCTTATTATTATTTATGAATCGGTAGTTGATGTCACCTTTAATTAATTATTCGGATACGTGAACACCTAAGTTCGATAATAATCAATATTCTTGAAAATGCCCTCATCGTGAAAAAAGAAGTAGCTGGAGTTTTTGTTTTTACAACAAGAATGATGGAGTGGCTGCTGTACCTCATTAAATACTGATGGTTAAGTAGCAAGTGTGTTTCCAATCTTCTACTCCTGGTCAAAACTGGTGAATATGGATGAATACAGAAACATTTAAGAAACATTCATCTTTGGTTCTCCTGCTTTAAAATTTAAATTTTTTTTATCAAGCAAATAAGTAAAGTTTAGGGTTTTTCCAAGTGCTGCTCCTTGTTAGTAATGTAATTGTCCGGTGATTTTTGTAACGATATTTTTAGTAAAAAATCTCGTGATTTGAATATACAAAAGGATGTATTCCTGTTTGGAATATTGATATTCTTTAAAAAAATCCGCCGCTCATATCGTTGTATTATTAAAAACATTTACATTAAAAGCGACAATTAAAATGCAAACATTTGCTCCTAATAACGTAAAATACGTTAATATGCATTCAATGAGCACAATCGACCGAGTCGAATTTGATCGGAAAGGAATAAATGGATTTGGAGTTTTTATATGTGCGATTGTAGTATGAATAAGTGATGAATATTTTGTGTACGATACACGAATACTACTTTATTTGGACAATCGAAGAATTTTAATTCGCAAACTAACCAATGAGGCGATATTTAATTCTATATGAGAAGTAAATTTGTAAAGGAATTGTACTTACAATAAGCTTTTTAAAATAAATTCAGGCAGATGATTAATTATTGGAAGACAAACTGGATAGGACGCCAATGGCACTTCGGAATTCCATTCCTTTTTTTTTTAATCCTGACACAACTAATGCGCACAGATCCTAATCAGCAGTAATTAACAAATTCGTGACCCTTGCCAGAATCTTCTTAACGTTCTCGAAATCCAATAGTCATCATTCATCATTAATTTTTAACAATTAATTATTGTTCTGTAGCTAAACAATCCGAGCCCAATGACAAAAGATTTATTGTATTGAAAAATAATTTACATTGAATTATTCAATCGATCTCCGCTCCGCAGGTGCTCATTTTCGCTCTTTTTATTTATAGATTTGAGCACCTCTGATGGTTCGCTCGGCGGGCGGTAAGGAATGGAGGCGAAGAGAGGGTTGATGGTCGTGGTGCATGTGTTCGGTAAGTAATTGTTTCTTTAAATTCTCCAATCGACATTTGTCCACTGACCTAAATATTTCACAATGAATTTGCAACAAAGAGAGTCGCGGAAAAGATAGGGTACACGACTCGTGAGCGTATAGAGTAGACTGTTTTATATTTTGGTGGCATCTTTAGGATGGGTAAATAAAAGTAAACAATTCAGGTATCCTGAAATCGCGGCTACCTCTTTTGTTTTAATCTTGATAGACATAATAATTTTCTTGAAAACATTAATGCTGTCTCATATGTTAATTTTTGTAAAGATAACGATCTTGGAGCATGATGATAATTTTGAATGAGTGTGGTTTTATTATAATGTATAAGAACCGTTTTTGGCAAATGGTGTATAGGGTATTTCTAAGTTTCTAAGAACTGAAATAGTCGTTGAAATGTTTTATTTAGATTGACGTTTTCTATTTTAATTGTTAAAAATAAGTATTAGATATAACAGTTTATTTAGATACCATACAAGAATATAATAGTTTTTATAGAATAGTAATTTTAATTCCAGTATGAATGAAGCAACTATTAGATGGATAAATCTAAATTTCTCTTTGTATTTACGCAACAAACGCTTTTTGTTCATCGTTAACTTTTTCATTCACAACCAAAATTCCACGCTGTGCAAATGAATAAATTCAATAGAGCTCGGCGAACTTTACTTTCCCAACTGATATTATTTATTTAATATAATTTGTAGCAGCTTTAAAAAATCGATTACTTCTTTCAGAAAGTAACTAAGCACATTGATTATCTCATTTACCATTTCGTCTTTTTTCTATTCGGCATTTCTATTAAATTAAATCGCGGTACCTCGT